AACCTTCTTCTTCCTCCTCCTCCTCCTCCTCTTCATCATCCTCATCAGAGCTGAAGGTGCCGTCCGGCAGGCTGTAGACACGGATGACCTGCTTGTTGGGGTCCTTAAGGATGAGGTACTTGCCCTCCTCCAGCTTCATGCAGATGTCAATGACGCAGCGCAGGATGCCCCAGGCGTTCTCTACGCTCAGGTTGATCTGGCTAGCAAACTCATTGGGCTTGAACTGCTGGGTACCCAGGATCACGTGGCGCGAGGAGTCTTTCACATGGTACCGGGACACATAGCTAGTGGGGGCAAAGGGATATTAGTGGCGGGACAGACTGGCGCCAAGAGACAGTCATGCTTGCCATCAAATGTCAAAGAGCGACACTTGGTCCGATGCTTTTCTTAAGGCAAAGGGGAAAAGGCTAGCCTCCGTCTCCCCACCCACAGACTCCTTTCAGAACATCAGTCACAACTCCTGGACAGCAGCCTCACCCAAGCTTGAGGTACTCAGATCCGGCCAGCAAAGCACAGCAGGTCCACCGGGCCAGCTTGTAGCTGTTGTTCTTCAGCTCCGTGGCAATGACGGCACCTCTCTGCGAGTCCAGTTTCTGACGCCAGTCAACGCCGTTACAGTGCTGCAAAGGGAAAGCCCATTACGGGAGTGAAGGCAGAGAACAGACTTCCTAGCCTGCTTGACTAGGAAATCGGTGAGAATGCGCATAAGTCAGAGACAAGAGTTCTCATTTAACAGAAGTGGAGTTAAGGGCCACTAGTTATATGATGCCAAGGTGGATACAGGTGGCTACATATAAATGGCAGTTGCTCCCTTCTAGATGGGGACAGTGCGATACACACACACACACACACAGAGAATTGGTTTAAAAAAAAAAAAAGCCACAGAACCGGCAAGGGCAAGTGTTCACTATGTGTTGGGTGGTACGGAAGGGTTTCAGAGAGGAAGCCTGACAGTTAACTGGGTGGAGAATACTGGCAGAAACTCCAGCTGGAGACAAGTTCCTGATCTGAGAGGCATGGTGGGAAATAGGCTGGGTTAGCTGGGGCTAGGGGTAGAGGCTAAGGAGCTCAGAGCCTGATGGGACT